ATGTCTTGTCTATTTCTCCCGTAATGTTACGCCTTTTCATTTCTGCTTCCACCCGGGCAAGCCATTCCCCACCGGTGAGGCCCTCTTCCCCACCCGTAAACATGGGAACACTCTTGTCCCTGGTGAATACTTCCATTGTACTGAACTGTCTCGTAGTTCCAGCTTGGCTCGGTGCTTCATTAGCCGTGGTTTCAGCTGATTGAGCCTCGGAAGTGTCTTCTGTTGCAGCTCGATGACTGCGAGATTGCATCTCCACCACTTGCTGCAATTGTGCAGCTAAGCCGCGCATTTGTTCCTCTAAAAGCTCAAATCGCGCGTCCATTTTGCGTTTTCCTAACGAAACCGGGTGTAAATTACAAGGGTTATCTTCCTCCCCCGGTGATTCTGCTACGTCGAGCAGTAGTTCAGCTTCTCTAAGAGTGAAAATGTATTCTTCTTCGTACAGCTCCTCTATAGGATTGTTTTCTAAAGAATTTGACGATTTTGATCTTGTCTCAGACATGAACTGTCACCCGCATCAACAATATTACAATACAATATTATGAGTCCATCGTTAATTGTAGTCACTTCAGTGCGAAAACCAATAAGAACGCAAGTAAACACAAGAAAACAAGCGTAATTAGTTAACCATCAAAAACACAAAACAAACTAGACAGTAGAAAAAATAAAACACTCATAACCCATGGACAAACCTCCATTCATATAATAAAAGGTTATATATTTGTATTAGCCGTCTTAGTATAATTGTAGTGTGTTAAGTTAGTATGCCCTCCACTCCGTCTTCTATGAATTTCTATTGGTGAAAGAAAACTTTTAGGGATAACTAACCCAAAAATATTACTCAAACAAATCAATTTCTAATTATCCTTTTATATTGAACTGTGTAATCAATAAGCATGCATGAATTTACCCCTTAATTAACTTTATTCATCTAGTTACTATTAAGGAATAGTGGAGACTTAGCCATGCAATAATTGACTTTCAGAGATGTTCTCTGTCTCGCGTCAGCTCTCAGACTACCGCTCTCGGTATCACGAGCGAGTGGCTCAGTGACGTCACAGTCATGAGTCTACCGTCGTCTGATTGGTCCTACGAGTCTTACGTCAACCTTACGTAGTCTGACGTCATATGCTCGTCCAATTCCTCGTCGCTGATTGGATAGCGGCTCGTGCTCTAAAACTTAAGCGTTACAGACACTCTGTTCTCTCAGCCAATCAAAACTCAGTTTTGCAGTCCCTCACACTCTCATTGGCATGCCAGTACGTCAGTGAGTCTAACAGTCTCTACTTTCCTCGGTGCCCGCAATAGTTGCCGTACACTTCCAGAATGCTGCGATACTGACAATTTATTTAAAGTACATAGAATACAATACTATTATTAATCCTTCTCGCTGCCACCATATGTTATGTGGGTCATTGTTACCCCAACATAAATCTTCGTTATTACTTTACTCTAGTAAGTTAATCAAAGGTTATCTCAGATAGTTTCAATAATATTTTTGTTCATTAAAACTTCAGATCAGTATGGCATCATTCTGATTCATCATTCACTATTTCTGGAAACCTTAAAATGAATTAAATTACTCTATTTCACATATATCTCGATATCATTGATATTTTCACTCATATATATCATTATTCTTCAAGACATAGGTTCTTATTTAATAGATATTGTATTTCTCGTGTCGATGTACTCCAAGTGATTTAATTAGTATAAGTGTTGTTTCTTTTTGTTTCGTGTACCACTGTGTTCAACCCAACCAGTATCTCTGTGGTGTGGTTCTCTCCTTTGTTCAGTGTCCTATTATGTAGGAATGACAAAATGGGATAATATTAAACACTGTGTGTGAAAAGAACTTATACATTTATTAAGTAATAATACTTACAATTTGACCATAGTTCCTAGGCCCGCCTTCCGCTAACTTCGGGGAAAAGACGAACTGGAATCTACAGCTAACTTCACCCTAATACTAGAATTAATTTCTAGTTAGTTAAGCTAGTTTTCACGGCTAATCACGCCGTATTCTTCAAATGAGTTCCAGGAGTCAACACCGATTCACCTTCACTCAATGATGTTTCAACCTGAACTGACTTCAGGAATTTTAGACCTAGGGGTGCCAGGTCATCTAGACAGAGGCCTGGTTGTTCGGTTGTATGGATGCTGAGGTGGCACTTTGAGAAGGCGACTTGGTATTTTGGCCCTTATCTCGAGTTAAAGTAACCACCAAGATCGTCCACAAGTATTTCACCTCTAACATAAACACAACCTACAACTACAGCCTCACTACCACCAAAACTCTATTTTGTGGTTTTATTCCCTTAGAATTTTATATCATCATAACTAATCAAGCGTTACGATTTACCAATTAAATGCATTAATAATGGCAAAATTAAAGTGTCACTGCTTCTGGCCGATGACATATAGCTCACTCTATATTTATGTGTGTATGTGTATATATATATGTATATGTGCGTGTGTGTGAGTGTGTGTGTGTGTGTGC